CGTGTTCGTGAATAAGCAGTTCAAAGCGAGTTACTTTCTTATCTTATAAAGATGCATCTGCCCCTAATAAGACCTAACCTTTCTTTTAGGGTCGCGTCAGTCCAAATTATAAACCGCATGAAGTCAGTAAGCTACAGCTGTCGTTGAAAAGAAATGATCTGCTTGAGATCGTTGTGGAAAATCAAGGACGGTTGACTTGGGAGACAACCAACGATTTTAAGGTTTGTTTGCTTTGTAATAAAATGTTTCTAGTATACTTTGAGTAAATTGGTTCTACCATGCCTTCACCCTGATTCCGATTCCCCCCCCCCCCGCTCCCTGAAGCTTTTCTCTGTACGAATACTTCCTAACACACTCTTTTAACTGTAGCTCTGAAACCTCTTTCGAACTTCGCTGTACATGTTCAGAATGCATTCAACAGTATCCACTTTTCAAGGAAAATGCATTGACGTGGCGCAGTCCATCTGTGTTTTGCTAAAACGTGTGTTCTTGTGGCTATCATAAGGCTTTATTCAGGGAATGGTGGGACCGGTGATGTTAGATGGCGCACAGTTGACCGGATGGACGTCATGTGCAGTCGATGTGCAGCGGCTTGTCGACGTCACTGCTCAGTCTTCGGTATGAACATTTTTGAATAGTTTTGTCTTCTAGGTAGCTATAGAGCGACTTGAATGCTTTTGCGAAGGCACGGTCCACATTGGTCTTGTGGGCGTGGATAGACATCTATTGTACCTCTCCCACTGGTTGGCACTGCCTCTTAAAATTTCTCGAAGGAAAAACACGCCAACGAGGAAGAACTGTTTGTTGTCTATCTCCGCCCATCCCTCACCTCATACGATCATCGTGGACTGCGCTCTTACGACACATCTGCAATCCGAAAAATAACGTGCAGCAGTTTTCATATACTACCTGATTGATTCTTATAGGTGTCGAGCACATTCAACGTCGGTGACGTCTTCCGTGGTGACTTCACGGCCACCGGAAAAGGCGACACGTTCATAGATGTGTCCAATTGGGGGAAAGGAGTGGTGTGGTTGAACGGCTTCAATCTTGGACGATATTGGGGCAGTGCTGGTCCTCAGGTGAGTATCAGTGTGGTCTTGTTCGCAGTGAATGCTGAGGCATGTCCGAGTAGGGGGGGGGGTTGACGTCGCGCCAAATCGTTTCCCTCGGTTGTTGTCGCTTGAACAGTAGGAAGAGATTGGGCTGGCGCTCCGTCAAACCAACGCCCCTCTCTGACACGCCTAGCATCCGCAGTGAAAAGACTGTATAGGTCGCAGGCAGGTATGCTTGCCGTCAGCCAATCTGCTAAATGAGCGCCATGTGGCCCATGAGTCCTTCTAGTGTCTGGTACCGTAACACTGCATTGATTACTACTTTCAGAAATACCTCTACATACCAGCACCGCTAATTACCAATGGAAAGAACACGCTGATATTCCTGGAGTTGGAACAGCTTTCTTCAGAGTGCAAAGGGACGCAGTGTACTATCAATCTGCTCGATCATCCATTGTTGTACAAGTAGCATTATACATAACGTACCCGTAGGGACTGCAATAAAGGCTGTACCATATCACCTCTGCTCTATTTTCAACTTTTGCCACTGTTCGACTGAAGTGGGGGGAGGCATTCCGTGCTTTCATTGATTCCTACTGCTAATCATATCAGCTA